GGGGGGGGGGGCATGCTGGCGGGGCTGGCACATGGGGTCAAGGGGTACCAAGGAGCCTGTGAGCATATGAACTCTGTCTTACCTGGGCCCCAGTGCTGGGCCACTCACAACAGACTCCATCTGCATTGCAAGTTGAACGTCCCAGGCTTGTCCAGCTCTCCTGGGCCCTTGGGGAGGCTTGGGGCACTGTTCTGATGGCAGTGCTGGGCCTACTGTGGGTCCCGGACTTGGGGCTGGGTCCTGCCAAGGAAGCCTGTCTGAGGGTGAGTTGCATACTCCACCAACTGTCTGCTAGGCCCTTGAGTGAGAAGATCCTTTGTCACAAGTGGTGGGTGGTACCCAGGAGCATCATAGGAGTGGGCTTGGAGTCTGGGGACCAGGGAAGGCAAGTGGGACCACCTGGGTGTTAGAGAGCTGAAGGTAGCTGAACCTGGGGTGACATATCTGAAGACCCTGAGGTAAAGGGGCTATGGGGTGGAACCAGCTCCCTGCCCCTTCTTGTGCAGGGATGAATAGATTCCAGACTGTGCTTATGAGCCTCCCCCACCCACATGGCTGTGGTGACTCATGTGTATCTCTTTGACCTTTCTACCCCCACTTCCCCCCAACACACACCTGCACTTCTGGCTCCTCTACTGCCGAGAAGCAAACTTCCTCTCCCTGAATTTGTCACACACACACCCCCACCCCCAATACCCTCACTTCAACCTCTGGAGCTTGTATCTCCTTGGGAGGACAGGGGCAGACCTGTCGGGGAAGGCTGGGAGCATATGCAGGAATAGAAGTCCCTCTGGCCCCAGAGCCTGCCAGCCTGTCTGTGGAGAAGTAAGGCAAAGAGAGGCCAGCAAGACACCCAGCAGGAGCTCCGAGGCTGAGCCCCTTGCACGAAGGCACCCAGTGAATGACACTTGTCAGCTGCTGGAATGTGTTCTCAAGGGCCCAGGGAGAAATACCACCAGGCAGTCCAGGAGTTGGGAGGGACTTGGGAGGTTTCACAGGCCTCCCCAGTCTACATGGGAGACTGAGGCCCAGCAGAATGGTGAGGGCGCTGGGACTGGGCTATGGGCCCAAAAGCCTTGTTCACATGAACCCCTCAGTGCCTGCAGCCTAGGCTGGAGAAGGGGGCTGAGGTGAGTACCCCCCACCGTGCTGTCAGTCCGTGCTGTGGTTCCTTCCAGGGGTCCTGCTTGGTCAGGTGGGCAGGAGTGGGCTTTCCGAGGCTCTGGCCCTGCCCCCACCCTCTCTGTGCCTGTCTTTTTGTCTCATTTCTTTGGCCCATCTCAATGGCCCTGCCTTGGCCGGACCATGCTCTTCACCGTGTTCTGTGTCTCCCCCATCCCTGCCGCCTCTCTGGCTCTGTCTTCTCTCTTAGTTGCATACTTGAAGGACCGAAGGCTGAGTGGAGGAGCAGGTAGCCCCGTGGCCCCTCCCCCGGTGCATGATCCCCATCTCTCCCTGCTCTTTCCTCTGTGCAGTGCTGCAGCCAGGCCGCATCTTGCTGTGGTTTGGAATGTTCTTTTGTCCTGCTCAAAACCCCAAAGATTCCTGCTCTTCTGCAGATCCTGGTCCACTGTGGGCTCTGTCCCACTTGGGGTTCTAGATTGGCTGGGTTTTAGAGCACTCTTCTTTCTAGGTTGGGCTGTGTGGTTTCCAGAGCTCTGGCAGTTGGAATCAGACCCTCCTCAGAGGTAGAGCCCAGGCCTGGCCCTGTGTGCTGGGGGTGCCTGGCCCTGCCTGAGCCAAACAGGTGTGGCCAGTTGAGTTCAGGAGGATAGAGTTCGCTCCCTACGAGTCTCACTTGTGAAAGTCTGAATAAGGGCAGAAACTGAATTTAGGGCAGTTTGAGGCCACCACACTGTGTCCTCCTTTGCAGAAGCAGCCCTGCTTCCCCCACCCATCATCCTCTTTAGGGAAGCACAGTTGAAAATACAGCACATCCCTGCACCATCTCAAGGGTGCCTCGTCAACTCGTTCCCCGTCTGCCTTAGTTCTGGCCAGCTGTTGAGAGAGGGCCCTGCTGGCCACAGCCCCTTGGGCCACTTACTGTCGCTGGCACTGCATGCCTGGGCCCGACGGAGCTGACACCAGCACGCTGGCTGGGAATGGGCCTCTCTGTGCCGTTGGAAGAACAGCTCGCCTGGCTGCTTTGCTTGTGTCATCCTTTTCCCGCCTTCTGGCACCTGGCCCTGCCTACTGGACCTCACGCCCATCCCCTCTCTGTCCACAGTGCCTTCAGCCAGCATGACCCGTCTTGCACGCTCTCGCACGGCTTCCCTCACCAGTGCCAGCTCGGTGGATGGCAGCCGCCCGCAGGCCTGCACCCACTCAGAAAGCAGCGAGGGGATGGGCCAGGTCAACCATACCATGGAGGTGTCCTGTTGAAGCCCTGGGTCCTGCTGAAGATGTCCACCCGCCCGCCCACATCGAGGTCCCACTGCCATCCCTGCGCTGGCTCATTTTCCCTTTAGTTTATTTTTGTGAGGGTGAAGGGGAGGAAATGGGGTTACTTTCTTTTGTTTAAAAAAATGAGGGGATCCATCGTAGATGCCGCAGCGGAACAGTCTCCAGAAGATTAGAGGAGCTCATTCCTCCCCACCTCTATCGCACTGAACGTGTCAACTTGGCTGTCTTGGACTCATTCCATCCAACTCCCCATGGCCCAGGCACAGTCAGGGCAGGGCTACGGGGGGTGGGAAGGGGATTAGGTAAGGACAGAGTCCTTATCTGGCTAGGATCCAGGATCATTCCTGGATTAAAGAAAGAGCATGGGACGACCCTTTGGCAGGCAGGTGTGAAGATGGGATAGGGCTTTAAGATGGTGGTTGCTGGGACAACAGGAGGACCGGGTCCAGCTCAGGCACTGGCGTGGGAGCTGGGAAACAGCTGCAGGGAGTGCTGGGAGGCCCCTTCCCCCAGCCCCTCCACCAAGCACACCTGTTTCTGTCTTGAGGTACATGTGACAATCATCTGGACAGTAGCCACAAGGGGGCGATCTGACCAGGCAGCCATTTTCCTGGTGCTCTCTGGGCTGGGCTGGTGCTGTAGGCCCAGGCAGGCAGGGGCTGAAGGGGGATTCTTTGCCCAAGGAAGACAGAATATGGAGAACACTGAGTGCAGGAACCCCACTGACTGTCCCTTCCGGTCTACACGTTCTCCCATCTCCTGGCCCTTTCCCATTTCTGAGCCAAGGTCTCCCTGAGGTAGAAGTTGCCTGGCCCTCTATCTCCATAGTGACCTGATGGTGGGCTGAAGGAAACAGTTGAGACAGCCCATATTTGTTGTGTACACCCCTGAGAACTTCATGGTGACTGCCTTTGGGAGCCAACAGGTGGCCAGAGGCAGGGGTAGCTGAGAGTTCCTGTAGACCCCCTTTTTGCCCCCAGGTTCCACAGAGGACAACCCAACAGCAGCAGCATGGTATTTCTAAGCAGAGCTTTGGTCAGCCTATGCCCATGTTTCCCTCAGGCATCCCTAAGGAAGAGAGAGTTTATTTGGAGAGAACTGGTCTCAGGCAGCAAGACTTCTGCAGTCCATGCTCCCATCTCAGCCTGCTGCAATGGGCTTGGGCTGGGGCTTGCTGGGTCCTGACAGGGCAGGGGGGAGGGCATGTGTGTGTGTATGTGAGTGGGAAGGCGTGAAGGTTCTTGAAGTGAACAAGGGCCAGTTAAAGGAGAAAGGCTCCCTGTACATCCCAGCTTGAAGTCCAGAACTGTGCCATATACTTCCCATCCACCCACCTTATCAAGTGGAATCTCCCAGCCCAGAAACCATAACCATTTGTCTTGGAGCCTAAATCAATTGCCACCCCAAGACAGAGGGGAGAAAGCAATGAAAAAATAAAGGGCTGTGGAGGGGGAGGGTCGTGTGGGAGGTGTTCTAAGGCTGGGAGGACATCAACATCCATATTTCTTCTGCACATATCACCCCCTTCTATAATCTTAAGCCATTACTAGCATTACTAGACTGCTCTAGAGCCTGGTGGAGTGTTAGTCTGTCCCCAGTTCTATTCACTCACGTGCTTCCTTTGAATATTGAATATGACTGTTTGAAAGCTGGTAGAATTAATTCCTCTTACTGTATACATAGCACTGCGAATCCTGGATATTTTTTTTTTTTTTTTCTGCCTGGTAGAATTAATTCCTCTTACTGTATACATAGCACTGCGAATCCTGGATATTTTTTTTTTGTTTTTTTCTGCTGTGTCTTCAAATGAGATACCTATAAATACCTATACATTATATATATATATATGTATATTGGGTCCTCCTGTGTGTGGTTTTCCAGCGGAGGTTCTCTCTTCTTTGGTCAGGTGAACTTTTAATGGAATCTATTATTTTCAACTCTGTACAGAGCCTAATTTTGTGTATTTTGGTGGCTGATGTCATGAGACTTTGAGATGACAAAATGTAACACAAATAAAAACCCTTGTCAGTATAGAAAGAGTTAACTGTGCTAAAAAACTAATAAAGAAACTGAGAAAGCGAGTGTGGTGATGTCGCGCCCATCGTGAAAGCGTTTGAAGGGGCAGAATGCTTAAACTGGGGTTGCTGGTGCTTCTTGGTTTAGGAGGGGCTGGGAGCGCCAGATAAGGACAGGGATTGTTTCCCTCCATCTCTACATTTATAGCACTTGTTACTTATATTATTTTACCAATCCTTACGTTAATTCTACTGAGTAGATATCTTCAGTTTTACAGCTGAGAAACTCTGGCATTGTTTGGCTTCGAAACCCACATCTGTAACCGCCATATTCACTGCCTCGTTTTCTAACTTAGAACCCTACTCCCTCCCCCCATGTTTAAATACATTTGTTCCATTCATTCATAGAAGAAATAAATATCAAGTCTCTGCTATGTGTCAGCTAATGAAGCAGCAAGTAAATAAAAGTAAAACCCACCAGGTGCTATGCATATATTGAAAAACGGATACATTAGCAAATGCGGGCAGAAGGGATCCATTCTAGATCCAGGAAACCTCCGGGCCACGCCACTCTGAAAAACGCACGCACACTACTCTAACTGAACAAACAGTGAAACGATTCGATGACTGTCAGTAACAGGAGCAGACGTCAGGAAGGCTGGCAGGCCGCCAGGCCCTCAGCTTCCGGCCCAGAAACCCTATCTTCTTCTTGCATCCGGCTTCTACCCCGAGAAGTCTCAACCTTTGGCCAAAGAGGAGTCTCATAAGTAAGCTCCACGCGGCACGGGGACACGCCTTCCTGCACTCGGACCACGCGAATGCAGCTGGAGACGCCAACTCACGAAGGATGTTTTTAGGAGGCATGACTCCCCCTGACGCAACCGGCCCACACGCGTCTTCCGCGTGGACTCCGGAACCGGCACTACGCACTTCCGGTGCCCCGCCCCGCTAGAGTCCCGCCCGGGGGGCGGGGCCAGCGGCGCCGGAAGCGCCCGCAGCGGGTCTCC